TTTTAAATGAAACAAACTGGTAACGAATCTGACTGCCCAGCACATTCTTCATGGAGGTTCGGGCGGCCGGCGGTGGCGTCAAAAGTTTGGCTAATTGGGTGGTTTTTTTCCTCAATATTGGTGAAATGGGAGGAAATCATGCTGCCAGAGGCATGTTCACCAAACTGCTCTTGGATGGTTGGGAGAAGTTTATCTCGGAGGATGTTTTGGTACCATTCTTGATTCATAGCTGTGTTCTTGGGCAAAATTGTGAGTGAGCCCACTCCCTTGGCTGAGAAGCAACCCCACGCATGAATGGTCTCAGGATGCTTTACTGTTGGCATGACACAGCACTGATGGTAGTGCTCACCTTTTTGTCTTTTTTCCGGATGCCCCAAACAATCGGAAAGGGGATTCATCAGAGAAAATTACTTTACCCCAGTCCTCAGCAGTCCAATCCCTGTACCTTCTGCAGATTATCAGTCTGTCCCTGATTTTCTTAGAGAAATGGCTTCTTTGCTGCCCTTCTTGACACCAGGCCATCCTCCAAAGGTCTTCAACTCACTGTGCGTGTAGATGCACTCACACCTGCCTGCTGCCATTCCTGAGCGAGCTCTGCACTGGTGGTGCCCCGATCCCGCAGCTGAATCAGCTTTAGGAGACGGTCCTGGTGCTTGCTGGTCTTTCTTGGGCGCCCTGAAGCCTTCTTCACAACAATTGAATCTCTCTCCTTGAAGTTCTTGAAGAATCCTATAAATGGTTAATTTAGGTGCAATCTTACTAGCAGCAATATCCTTGCTTTTTTACTTTTTGTGCAAAGCAATGATGACTGCACATGTTTCCTTGCAGTTATCCATGGTTAACAGAGGAAGATCTGCTATTCTAACTCAATTAGCATGGCAGAGTGATCTCCAGCCTTGTTCTCATCAACACTCTCACCTGTGTTAACGAAAGAATCACTGAAATGATGTCAGTAGGTCCTTTCCTGGCAGGGCTGAAATGCAGTGGAAATGGGTTTTTTGGGATTAAGTTCATTTTCATGGCAAAGAGGGACTTTGCATATACTCCAGAATGTTATGAAGATGATCAGATGAATTGCAATTAACTGCAAACTGTCATAATAAAAACTGAAACAGCAGACTTTATGAAAAATTTTATCTCTCAAAACTTTTGGACACAGCTGTACATTAATATGCAATTAAATGTGAATTGAAAACTCAATCATTTCATGAAGAGAAAACAAATTCAACAATCCTTGTTGCAAAAACTTGTGTGTGTGTGTGTGTGTGTGTGTGAACGTGTTAACTTGTGTAAGGAAATAAATATTGGTATTCGTTTAATGGCATCAACAGATGTAAGCTTTATAACAAAACCCTTAACGTTCTTGTTTATCGCACAGAATTTGCATTTTCAAATCGCCTGCTTTTTATTTTACCCTGGCTGCAACAGGAGAGCTGCATCATAACCACTAATTGTGAAGTTCTGCTAGCCCACGCGGTCCTCACTGTCTCGTCTAACAAACCAGACATTTATGGAGGAGCTGTCTTTATCTCTTCAAGCGGGACCTCAAGAATGGCTCCCAGATCATGAAACTGCATAGGCTAGAAATTAGTCTGAATAATAGAGAATTCCGTGCATTTGCCGGGGCTGTGTGGATGGGGAGGCTCGGATCGGTGTTAAACCGCTGAGTTACCAGTCAGCCGCGCCTGCGGGCTTCTGGTCTCCCGGTAATGAGGCGTACAGTAGCCAAGGGACAGTCATCGAAAAGGAGTTTCGGCGGATCATCCACAGAAACCGAAGGGACTCCTGAGATTATGTCTTCATCACTGCCTCAAGAAACAAACCGCTCGGCAGTGAAGCTTATGTGAGGGATAGCAGTCATTGAAGAGCACGCACACAGAGCCTTGACATCCTCAGTGATTTGATTTTTAATTATTTAAGTCAAACTTTGCAAATGCGGTGTTACTTTTGAATAACACCGTTCCACACTGAAACTCGCAGGCACGTAATAACTGATAGATGATTAGTGTGGTGCTGTTGGTGTGTTTTAGCGGACAGACTCGTTACGTTTTTATTTGTATATTTATACTGGTTTATTTATAATCCGAGCATGGTGTCACACTCTGGCACCTTGTTCTGGATGGAAAATCATCAGGGCAAAGACACTGTAAGCTTTAATTTTTGCGTCCCATTAAGCATTTGGGCAGCCGGTCCCGTTCACAGCCGCCTGGTTTCCGGGTGTCCCCCTGACGCTGTACTCGTTACAGTTCGCGTCCCCCGTCTACTACTGTGTGTCATCCAGTCCCTACGTGTCCTCCCTTCCTGGTGTGTCCCCTGGTATGTTTGTGTCCGCTCACTTTGCTGCGTGTTCCCCCCAGTCTCTCCATATCCATCACTCCCCGTGTCCCCCTCTCTCTGCTGTGTCCCCCTCTCTCCCTGTCCCCCTCTATTTGCTGTGTGTCCCTCGCTCTCTCCGTGTCCCCCTCTCTCTACTGTGTGTGCGCCTGGTCTCTGTATGCCTGACTGAGCTCCGTGTGTCCGCCTGTTACGCTCCGCCTCCTGCTCACAGCGCCCCTGTCCGTCCTCTTTAATATACAGCACATTCTCTAATCGTTTCCCGGGAACGTGTCGACGAACCGCTGGGTGGGGAATCGCACAAAAAGAAAAGGGAGAACCGCGGAGTAGGATGCGTCCTTCCCGGGACCACTTGCTTTTCGCTTAGATGGATTTGCGCCTGCACAGGAGCACGGCTTGATCACACGGTAAGTTGCAAATGCTGCCGCCGAGGCGGCGTCGCTATTGTTTGCTGCGCCGCAAGACGTGTGCAAGGTCGCATCTTGAAGTCGCGTTGCAGAAGTTTCTTTTTTCCCTGATGTAAATCGCCGTGCTGAACCCAAAGAGACTGTTACAAGCATGCACCTTGCAGGAGCATCGTCTGGCAACACACAGTCTTCCAGTGCTAGTCAGCATCCCGATGCACAGAAAGGGAGACGGTGCTTTTTTTTTTTTGCTGGGTAGTGGGACCGGTGGTGGATGAACAAACACAAGGGCTGAAGTGCGTGTACATGTGGTTAGGGTGATGGGGGATGTCGCCTGAAGCTTCTTTTATGCATTGACTCACTGTGTTAGATTAGATTTTTTTAAATGACACTGGTTACCGATCTGTATTAATGTGTTTCCTTATGCGTCCACAGTCACGTTTCTTTTTGGTGGTGGATATTCAGGGGTTGTGGTACACCTCCTGGTTACATGTACCGCACACACACACACCCAAGGTTTTGTGTATTTCTCTATTGAAACTGATGCTGAATATTAATGGACGGCAGTGAGAGATCGGACGTGTTGCTTTGTACACCTGCCGATGTGATTTTGTTTTATTCAAAAAGCAAATGTTTAAAATCCGTCGTATCCATTCATACTGGTAGATTCTTTTGTTGGTTTACAAGCGACACCTTGAACTGCTGACCATACCACCCGATTGCATTGAGGAGATGAGTTTTATGTGCGTGAAGAACGACATTTATATGCCATATGCTCGCCGAGTAGACCTCCAACAGATACCTTTCATAAGCTTTAAAACCCCAAAGCGGACCTACATGTGAACCCGTGTACGGTGAGGGCTTCCTACCATGCGTGTGTGGGATTGACATCCTACGAGCAGCCTGACTGTAGGTAACTGACACATGCTGTTTGTGCTGTTATGACCGCCGCCTGCGCATGAATGCGAGAAAGGCATCAAACCGAGCACGTCCTTCTCCTACGGGAGTGTCATGGTTCAGGATGCTGGGATTCCTCTGACATGTTCCCACGGCAGCTGTGCTGTCCGTCCTTTTTTTATGATGGGAAAACCGCACAGACATGCAAGCACTGGAGTTAAAATAAAGCCTTGGAACTTTAACAGGGGCTTTTGTTTATGGAAAATTCTCCAGTCGAGTGACCCCGAGCGCTACTGGCAGAGCTGCAGCAGCAGACTTTTTGAAAGCGACACTCTGCGGAGTTCAGGGGGCGTGAGAGGAGTCTGGCCGCACAAAATTCCTGTCCAGTCCACAGCTTGGAAGAGGATGTTTGTCTCAAAGGACCGGAGGAAACTGCATGCATAAATGTGAGGGCGGTGTTGGGGCTGAATAGGTAGCCTGAATTATTCAGTATTTCAGCATCTTTGGGGAGTCTGCTGCAGTCTGCACCTGATGGTTCAGTAAGGATTTTGGGAAAACTTTTTCAGTTGGGAGATTAATTTAAATAATTAATTTTAGCATGCATTTGGACATTTGGCATTTTTTGGCCCTGATGGGGATGGTGTGGAACCCTGGTGGGATGGTGATGATGGGGGTGAACGAGTCTGCGAGAAGATCCTTGGGTGTTTACGTTGGAATTCTGACCCAGATGATGGGATGGACGGGGTTGTCACTGTGAGTGCTGTTGCTGTGTGTTGACAGTCACTGTCAGGTTTAACCCACTTTCTGTTGGCTGCTGCTCTGGTCCCCATTGGGTTAAACAGATGTGCTGAATTGATGTAAAACGGGAAGTTCTGGAAGCCCACAGTGATAGACGCTGAGCTGTGAGTCCCGCCTGTTGTACTGTTGTACGACCCCTTTCTCCCATTGAGAGCTGAATCTTCCCGATGCCACGTAGTCGATCTGGACTTTTTTGGCCCGAACAGACGAGGACGCAGCCAGGCCGTTGCTGTTGTTTCTTTAACACCATCTTCCTTGACTGCTGGGCTAATCATCTGTAGAATTTGCCAGAAAGAGGGCATGAACCATATTGTAGGCTAGCCTGGGCCATTCCACTTTGATATTGCTCTTTAAAGTAGCAGCTCTCTGTCGTATTTTTTTTTTTGTATTGTGCCAAAATGTAACTGTGAATCCAAGAGAGAGTGACCATTTGTCCCTGAGCACGTAAGTGACCTCACATATGGATGTGTGTGTGTGTGTGTGTGTGTGTGTGTGTGTGTGTGTGTGTGAGAGAGAGAGAGACAGAGAGAGAAAGAGAGAGAAATGAACCTCAACGGAAACTTGTGCATCACATCACATTATATATAGCCAATAAACTGCCATTTTCTCAGTGAAGTAAGGGTTACATACTTTGCAGCTTTGTAATGACTGGCTGGAATTTAATGAGTGTCCAGGTGTCCTGTATCGTAGTCGAGGTCCGGCTGTCCTAAATGTGTTTATGTCCGTTTGGCCTTTTCCTTCTTGACTCGTTTCTGAGCTTGCGACTCTCTGGAGGGGGGGGCTTATGGTGTCAGGGGTGAACAGCAGCGATTAGCCGCTGGCAGGTAATGCTTCCGGTCCAGCCTATGATTTCGCCCCTTCATGAAATGTCACGTTAATTTTTGCCGTTTTTTTTAACCTTTTTGCCAGTCTAGCCTTATTTTTCAAAAACTGCACTGAGATTATTCATTGAAATGTGATTATTGTTTAACGGTTTAAAATTGAGCAAATTTCTTCTAGTAGCCTACAAAAAAGCACGCAGTAAACTAGGTATAAAAAAGGTTGGAAAATCAAAAAAAAAAATTCAGGTGATTCCCCCTTGGAAATAAGTAGTGTCCCCTCTCACCAGGTTAGGGGACACCCCAATAGTCATAACTCGGAAACGGTTAAGGATAATGAAATGTCTTTATTTGGTATCACAATAAAATATCCTACTTATTAAATCCTAATCTGGGCAATTTTCAGTCTATATCTACTTCTAGTTGCCTTTGATTGTGTAGATGCTTCTGGAAATGTTTTTCTTTTCGTGATGTGAAGGGAAATGTAGGGTGGATAACATTGTGGGTCGAGTCCTGAGTCTAGAGTAACTAGAGGCACTGCCGCGGTGCCCGTTTTAGGTGGCACGCCTGGCTGCACTGCCAGTTCGGATCAGCCGCGGTCCTGGTGCCCTCTAGCCACACGCCAGTACACATTTGAAGGAGGACGGCCGCACTGGTCACAGCGACTTAACCAAACGGAATGGTTATGTGTGGCATGGAGGCATTTCTGCTGCACGCGCTCCCCCAGTGCGTCGTTATCGGGCTCCGTCCCAGGGAGGCCGGCGGCCCCAGGGCATGCTGTCAGCTCTCGGCAAGGCGGGCCTCCACTGGCATGCATTCTGGTGCCTTCCCTGTTCCTGTGGGACCCGCACAGGCAATCCCACGCTCATTTGTATGCAGCCAAGTCAGCGCTGAATTCTGGCGGGAGTCGTACCTGCAGATCCAGTCGGGGGACGTGCCAGTTAATGGGCCGTTGTCTCACTCTAAATTCAGGCCTGCCAGATGCTGTTAGGTCTTTTAAAGTGGTTTTTGTAAAGTGACATGTAATCAGTTTCGTTACAAATGTTTAGTATCTGTTTGGTACCCTGGGGCCAGAAGCTGTGATGCATCAAGCTTTTAAAAATATGAATCTGAACAAAATTGAGAGGAAGATTTGTGTAAATGAAATGATTAGTGCTCTAAACTTGGCCTTGAAGAGTTAGTTGGCTTTGACTCTGTGGCTATGCACTGATTGCCGTGGTTGTGTAAGAGACAGCGCCCCCAGCAGGAGGCCCGCATCACTGCGGCATTTGGGCTGATATCCACAGACACTCGCCCTGTGTTGTAGGTAGGATTGGTAGCATTGGGTTTGGTGAATCCTTGACTGTTCAGGTTCTCTTGGTCAGGCTGGTGTTGAGCCAGAGCCTATCCTGGGAGGAACCGGTCCACACGTTCTGTCACGGGATGCTTTTCGGCCTGCACACATACACAGACCAGCACTCATTTAGAGACATCGGTCCACCTCCACTGCATGTCTTTGGATGATAGGAGGTAGCTAGAGGAAAGCCACAAAAGTGGGGGGGGGGGCATGCACAGACCTAAGGTTCGAACCCTAAGTGTGTCATCCAGAATTTTTCTTCATTTTGGTAAAACAGCTATATACCATGGATAAAGCAGTAAAATGCCTGGCCCTCACTAAAGACTGAAACAGGAACTGAGCTGAATGAGGATCAATGAAATTACGGCGTTCAATTTAAATCCCCTCTTTGTTCTTCGTGGAATGTTTAAATCAGCAGAAGATCCCTGCTTTATTTATTAAGTTTGTGTCCCTGTGGTATCACCAGCCCAGCAAAGGCTCACCCTCTGTGGTATCACCGGCCCAGCAAAGGCCCACCTTCCGTGGTATCACCGGCCCAGCAAAGGCCCACCCTCTGTGGTATCACCGGCCCAGCAAAGGCCCACCTTCTGTGGTATCACCGGCCCTCTGTGTGCCGCGCTTTTACCCTTTTATAGATACAGTATTTATTGCTGACTTTAGATGAAACGCAGGCACCTTCCTGTTAGTAAGGCGGCCATATAAACTTCATAACGGTTTGAAATGTAGTCTCTGAGGCACAAATTGTTCTTGTGTTTGTGTTTTCCCCCTCAGTTTTCATAAAAACATGACCATTAGTACCAGGACGCGAGCCAACCCTCGAAGCATTGTGCGAGTGGCAATATTTTTGCCCGAGGGGGGGAAATGGAGACTACTGTCAAGATTTTTCAAAATCATCACTGGCTCCTTAATGCTGGCAGGAATGAAGACACTTTGTGCCAGAATTAAGGGCACAGTGCAGTGCACTTTAAATGAATTTGGGTCAGAGTTGCCTCGATACGGTGTGACCTCCCAGGAGCCTGTTTTAATGTGCTTTCCACGCGTGTAAGTCGATTCAGCCTCTGCTGCTCTGCTTTTCCTAGCCGCATGCATGACCCGGTCAGCCCCTTGCTCTCTGCCTACAGTCCTCCGGCCTCTTACAATGTCGGCGGTCTCTC